CGTCTTTGGTAAGCAGAGATCGCCAAGTTCTTTTTCTTTTAGGTTCTGGATTTGAAGTTGAAAAAAGGTTAAATTAAGCATTTTCAGACAGTTACCAAAATTTCGRTGTGATCGGGTTTTGAGTCATTCTAGGWCCACGCTTTTTTCGAACYTAGATTTATTTTGTGCATTTCTGATTTCACATATTTTTGAAATTAGTATCACTGTAAAATTAAGCCTTGTTTTTTTAATAAAATTGCATCAATATTTTGATTGGAATTATTTAAGTATGTAAAGAAGAAAAAAATATGTTAGTGCTCGAGAACTAGTCTTAAGCATCTTTTTGATCAAATAATAGAGTTCTTATTTATATTTAAAAAATTATTATATTAATTACTAGTGTCTTAAGCATCTTTTTGACCAAATAGGGAGTCTTTATTTATATTTAAAAAATTATTATATTAATTAATAGTGTTTTTATGTATATTTAAAAATTTATTATATGAATTAATACTGCTTTATTTCTCCTTCCTTTGCTCCTTGCTTTACTGTTTCACCACTTCTTGCAGAGTTAGCATAGCTAATTACCAAGCAACATATTCTATAGAATCCTTCAAGCATCACTTTAATGGCGTCTTCTTCAACTTCATCCGCTCAGACGAGCTTTAAGTATGATGTTTTTTTGAGTTTTCGAGGTGAAGACACACGTAAAACATTCGTTGATCATCTCTATCATGCTCTTCAGCACAAAAGCATCCACACTTACAAAGATGACGAGAGAATCAAGAAAGGGGAGAGGATCGGTGATGAGCTCATCGAATCCATTGAAGACTCAAAGTTCTATATAATTGTTTTCTCCARRAACTAYGCATSWWSATCTTGGTGYTTGGATGAGCTTGTAAAGATYATGGAGTGCCAGACGATSACTGAGCATACTGCTTATCCCGTCTTCTATGATGTGGAACCCACTGAAGTCCGCTACCAAAGTGGGGAATTTGGAAAAGCTTTTGCTAAACAAGAAAAGAAAGAGGCTGCTGAAAAATGGAGAAAGGCTCTAAAAGAAGCAGCCGATCTTCACGGGTTTGACTTGAAGAACACTGTAGATGGGTAATTCATCCATATTATTTCATATTGATTCTTTGTAATCTACCTTTACCCTATGATGTGAAACGGTCATCCATGCGAGATCATGTTGTGTTGTCAAATTCTAACTCAARCCTGAGTCCCTATTGAAAGATAAAACATGTGATATGATTACATGACACTCTTAATGACTTCGTGTTCACATGTATGTTATAGATCTGAATTTAAATGAATTGTTCATGTGGGATTTTGAGCAAGCTAATTTTGTCTTCTTTAAATACACAGGCATGAAGGTAAATTTATCCAAAAAATTGTTGAAGAGATCTCATTGGAGTTGCGATCCATCAATTTCTGCGTCGATGAAAAATTAATTGGCATGGAGGCTCGAATAACGGATGTTGTTTCATCTTTAGAAAAAAATATTGATGACGTTCGAATGATAGGAATCAAGGGGATGGGAGGTGGTGGGAAGACAACTTTGGCGAGAGCTGTTTTTGATCGAATATCCTTTSGGTTCGAAGGTAGCAGTTTTGTTGAGAATGTTAGGGAAAATTCAAATCCCAATTTATCCCATTTAAAGGAGTTACAGAACCAAGTCCTTAAAGATGTGCTAAAGGATCAGGGCCTTARTATAAGTAATGTTCATGATGGGAAAAAGATGATAAAAAAGATGATGTGTTGTAGAAAGGTTCTTGTTGTTCTTGATGATGTGGATCATGTAGACCAACTAAAGGCGTTAGCGGGTGAGCTTAATTGGTTTGGTAAGGGAAGTAGAATTATCATCACAACAAGAGATGAGCAAGTGTTGGTAGCACATCGAGTGAGCTTGATACGTGATGTCGATCTTTTATCTGAAGAGGAAGCCATTTGCCTCCTCAGTAGGTATGCRTTTGGGAGASAGAGTCCAATTGAAGAGTACAAAGAGCTATCGGGACAAGTGGCAAGTTATGCTGYTGGACTTCCCTTAACGATCACAGTTTTGGGTTCGTTTCTGTGTGGTAAAAATGAGCTTGAATGGGAAGATGTTATAGAAAGACTAAAAACAATTCCATTGAAGGAAACTTTAGAAAAGTTGGAGTTAAGCTATATTGGTCTAGAGGAGGATTACAAGGAAATATTCCTAGATGTTGCATGTATAATGAAAGGTTGGAAGAAAGAGAGGGCAATCGAAGTGCTTGAAAGCTGTGGATTTCATGCTAGAAATGGTTTAAGAGTTCTTGAGCAAAAATCTCTCATAACTATTTTTGAAGATGAGGAATTAGGCATGCATGATCATATAGAAGAAATGGGCAAGAATATTGTTCGCCGCTTGCACCCGAGGGAGCCTTACAGACATAGTCGATTATGGATTGGAGAGGAAATTGAAAACATATTGGCTAATAATCAGGTAAAGATGGAGTTTATATGTAAGGTTGAGGAAACTAACACATTTTCATTTGTTATGACACAAGTTTCATGGTCACTGCTTTTGGATCACAGGGTACTGAAGCAACAACAGGTATAGAATGGAGTACAAACTCAAAACTCGATCCAGAAATTTTGAAAGGCCTTGGAAACATGAAGAATCTTAGATATCTTCTGCTGGATCTTGCTTTATATTCGGAATGTGATGAAGTTAGCCAATACCTTCCAAATGCTTTAGGACATCTATGCTGGTTCAGGTACCCTTTTGAGTCCTTACCCAAAACATTTGAAGCAAATAATCTTGTTGGACTTCACATGATCGGAGACAGAATTGTACAAGTTTGGGAAGGGGGAGAAAGAAAGGTAGAATAATAGTCCAATACTTACTTGTTTTGCATGATTCATTATAATCTTCACTTTTTGGTTTTGTTTGGTTTGGTTTGTTACTACACCCGTACTTACTCTTTTTTTGTTTATGATAGGTTCTTAAGAAGCTCAGATTCCTTACTTTTCAAGATTCAAAGTTGAAGAGCCTTGATCTTGGTCTTTTTCCGAATCTAGAGAAATTAAAAATTGATGATTGTGATGATTTTGAAGAACTTCACATTCCCGTCGAATGTCTAAGGCTCAAATCCCTTGTCCTCGAATCTTCTAAGTTGAGGACCCTTGACTTTCGAGGGAATCCGTATCTCGAGACATTAACTCTTATAGGATGTCGTGATTTGGAAGAACTTCACATGTCCGTTGAATGGCTAAGGCTCAAATCCCTTTACCTCAGGTTTTCTAAGTTGAGGGCCCTTGACCTTCGAGGGACTCCGTATCTCGAAACATTAACTCTTATAMAATGTGATGATTTGGAAGAACTTCACATGCCCGTTGAATGGCTAAGGCTCAAATCCCTTGACTTCGGGTCTTCTAAGTTGAGGGCCCTTGACCTTCGAGGGACTCCGTATCTCGAGACATTAAATCTTTATAGATGTGATGATTTGGAAGAACTTCACATGCCCATTGAATGGCTAAGG